TGTATATAGGTGTTGATATTACACATGGTTGAGGCGCAGTGGTTGCTGGCGAGGTGGGTGTGGCTCTGGTGGTTGTTTCTGGGACGCGCATTCTCTCTGACCCCCATCCTCCTTGCCTTCCTCCCCGCCCTGTTCGTGATCGAACTGGTGCCCTTTCGTGGCCGCTTCCGATCCTGCCGGTTTCTGCTGCCCGTGCAGGTATGTAGACCTCAAGTTCTCGGCGCCAACTCAGGGGCTATTGCAGGTGAGAATCCCTACTGGGAGCGTTTTTTTTCTGGTCATTTCGGGCGCGAAAAGTGCAGCAAATGCCGAACGACGATTGAACCTGTCAATTCACGAATTTGTTTGCTGCTCAAGTAGAAGCATTGAGGCTTAAATTTTGCTTTACCTCCTTGTCGGGAGTATCAAAATTGATCCTCGCTTTGTTGCGATGCGCGCGGTGGGTGTTCACAAATGTATATATGCTCCTTGCGTTGAGCCACTCAGGAACGTGTTTCTTTTAGCATCACAGGATGTCGACGGCAGTGTTCGAATTCTGTGACACAGAGCGGCTACGACGAAACACGATTCCGCCGTTTTTCTTGTCGAAAGAGAGCGCATACATCCTTGGTTGGGCCAGTGTTCAGCCACTTTATGAGGAGAAAGAGTGACGGCGTTGCGCTCTGCACTGGGCGGATAGGACGGGATGATGCGAACCGTTCAACGTTTTTAGCAAGGTCTTTCAAAGACGGCGGCGGCGGCGAGAGTAGCGGATAACTCTACTGTAGCAGCACCCTATCGTTACCTCGTGGTGACGGTCTGGGTGGGGTGCACCACCACCTTTTCTTGGAGTTGCGGTTCATGGGTGCCCCCGCCCCCGCCTCATGTTCTCTTGCCCCTCGACGATACGTTTTCGACGGAGTACCTCACACGCTCGGTGACTCGTTCGAGTCTGTCGAGAAAGCCGAAGAGATACCCACTGATGCTGTTTCGCTTTCCATGCCGTTTTCTTCTACTGCCATCTCATTCGCACGCTTCAGTGGGGCTCCTACAGACGTTCCGGCCCCCCTTTCCCGCTTGCTCATCACGGTAGGCTTGAGGCTTGACACTATCGAAGAACAACCCAAAACATTATTGAGCCCAAACCGGACCCGCAGGTGGAGAAGAGGGGTTGCGTGGCGACGACGATCATCAACGGTGACGTTGTGCTGTTCACGGCGAGCGTGCTGGCTTCTCGGTGGCCGAAAATCTCTCCCATAGTAGCGGAAATGATCGTAAGTTCGCAAGAGTTCTCGCAGAGCCAATGATCACTCGCCACAACCGCGCTTAAAAGCTGTCCCCCCTGTCCCCCCGCTATGTGTTGTATTATTTTTATTTCCTTTTTTTTCTTCGGGCGTAACGTGTACTACACGTCACGCGCTAGGCACAATCATCCCCCGGCGGTGCAAAGGGTAGTGAAGATCCGTGCGTCGTTTGGGTGATTGGAGCAAACGTCGTGCCGCGAAGCAAATCTGACACTAATCAGGTTTTGATCCAGCGCTGTATCCGCCACCGCCGCCGCCATCTCCGCCGGTTGGCCTTTTGTTGTGTTCCCTCCGCGGTCGGTCTCTGATTCTAGTGAACGTCGCCGGTCTCTATTTGTGCGCATATCTCACCCACCCCCCACCCCCCACCCCCCAACGCCCCCCTTGTGTTTCCTACAGGAGAGCTTCCGCGCCGATGTGGCCCAGAAAACTCCCGACCCCAGCTCCTTCGCCTTCAATCGGCGCTAAGAGATCAGGACCAAGTCTGCTAAATTTCCACCGATACCACCACTTAAAAACTTCCACACTGACACGCATGCGTGCCACCGCCGACACGCCGGTATGGGGCACTCTGCTTCAGCGGCGACGCCTCGCAATCCGTCGTGACGGGGGAGGGATCACGGAAACTCGACGCTCGCTACTTGGTTAAGAATGAGTTCGCGGGTGGTGTGTGTGCGTGGTTGTGGCAGCCTGTCCTCTGCTTGTGCTTTTGATACCGCATATAGTAAAGGGGGGGCGGTAGGTCGGCACGACCGTACCACCATAAAGAAGCTTGCTTTTTCCAGACTATCCTATCCGCGGGGGGGCACTGCCTAGCGACTTGGTTCTCGATGTATTCGTGGGCGTATTAGGGGCCTGTAGAGGTTCGTCATTGGCGTTCAGTCCATCCACATTTAAAGCGCAATATTTGCACATGCGACCATGACTCTTCCATTCTTCCGACGCCGCTCCCGGTCAAGAACTTTTTTTGTCACAATGGTTGCGTCAATTGGGGTTCGCTCGCAATGATGGCTTGCTGGGTGGCGAAGCTTGGGCGGCTGGCAGAACAAGAGGGGGAGGAGCTACGTCGCGATAGAGAAGCTTGTCTCTTTGTTTGGGATTTATATGTCGATTGGCGCACATCGGGGCCCGGGGGGTTTTGTTTTGGGGTAGACCCACTTTTGTGCGCTTCAAGCTCAGCAGCTGAGTCACATGGGAAGGCGGGCGGCGCATATTTGCACGAAGCGATAGACTAGAGCTTCGAAGGGTGGTAGTCATTGGAGGTGCAAGTAGATGTAGGTGACGCATTAAGGCGTACACGGCAAGTTGTCTCCTGTCTGGAACGCGACGAAAAGTCCACCAGTTGGAGAGTGTTAAGTCTAGACAGAGGCAGCGGCATCAGGCGGTCCGCGTCACGGAGATGCTGAAGAAAAGAGCAACAGAGACATACGCATACGATTGTTGCACACATTTTTTCAGTCCACAGAGCGAGCGACCCTCTTGCCTCAAACATATTTTCGTTCTCGAGGCTCGCTCCTTGCTTGATCTGTGGGGGAATCAATGAGGACTACAGCACATGAGGTTTCACGTGTTGGTGGGACAAGGTTTAAAAACCCTGAATTCCACCAAAACTTTGAATGCCACAAGTACCTTTCTCTGTATTCGGTGTCACGTGCTGGCACCCGTTTCGTCCCTTGACCACACGGTTCGCTGCCCCTAGTCATACAATCCAGGCCTGTCTGGAACGAGCGTGGGCGTGCACTACAAACCACACCGCTTCCTTCTCCACACACGGTGCCAAAAATAAATGTACCGAGCAACGTAAACACCAGCAAAGTGACGACGGATGACAACCAGAATAATAGAACCGATTGGCATGAAAGCAGGAACATTAAAATTGAAACGGGTCGTCTGCGGGGTGTAGAGCTCTCGCAATTCTTCGAGCCAGAGAGGGGAGATTCGGGTGAAAAGTTGAAGCGTGGGGGCGGTCGCATGAGGTCGTGTCTACTGTTTCCACTGACCGACGGACCAGAAGATGTGTGTGTGGTTTTTCCACTCAAGACCTGCGACTGGACCAAATGCATTTGACAGCAAGCGACCTGCTGAGACAAGCACGAGAAGCAATTACGGAGAATCAACGTGTACCATAATTTTCAAATTTTGCTTTTCACGCACAACAGAGACGCGCGGAGAGGCTGTACGGAGGCCGGACACGAGAGAATATGACGGCGAACACCGCGGCCGCTCCGTTTCTCTCCACCTTGCTGGAGATGATCAACCGGGGACATTGTCTGTTCGACGACGGTGGGCAGCGACAATGATGACGACCGACGCCGGCCGACGGACTAATAGATTTGGCGCTTAGACTACAATGTGATATTGTAGACCCGGTATACCCTGTATTTTTTGGGTCTCTGAACCCACCTTTCTTTGTCGCACGACCGCAGACGAAGGGCGTGTGCCCTCACCATAACTGCTGTGTTTGACGGCGCATGTTGTTCATGTTGAATGCAGTGTGCGGACTGCACAGGGTTCCCTCTTTTACGCGACTGCCGTGGTTCCTGAATGTTGTTCAGCCAACCATGCCCGTCTTCAGGATAACGCCCCCAACGCAAGGAAGGGACGCACGCGCACGCACAGACAAACGCACGCCCCCAACGCATAGTGACGAGGTTGGCCGTGTGAATTTCACTAGCTTCGTACAATACATGTAGTGTGGCCGTGTTGAGCGAATAGCTGTAGCTTATTCTGTGGTCCACCTAAAACAAGGAGTTTGAAAAGTCGGGAGACCGGAATACCCCGCGCTCTCTGTTTGAGCGTGTTCTTCCCCAGTGGCCGGCTTATACAAGATTAAGATTGTTGGAGACCTGGGCTTGACGCCGTGATATTAGTGGCGGGTCCAATGCTTCTCTCTCGGCTATATGCAACTACCACATAGTGTGTTACTGCGCACCTGCGAACTCCCATTGTATCATGGTGACGACGGTGGTGGCGAAGAGCACGCAATTTTTTCGCAAAGTGGATCCGCTGCTTCTTCTGTCCAGTCATTCCTCCGTTGTAAAGTGAAGATGTCCATCCGATGCTGCTGCGCTGCTGCCTCTTCGTTCTTCCTCCGAAGGAAATTTAGTGTTTGGAAACGCTCAGCTCTTCGCTTCGAGCGTCCTGCCGCGATACTTCAAGCACGGGAACTTCTCCTCGTTCCAGAGGCAGCTCTACTACTTCTCGTGGAGGAAGGTCGTCAGCAAGGGGGGCGGGGGCAAAACCTCGGTAAGTCGTCGATGCCACGCTCGTATATCCTTCAGTAGGTAGGCGTTGGAATTTGGCAGTCAGTGTAGAGACGTAGGTGTTGTTATGGTGTTTGGCCATGTACACCAGAAAAAAATCATTTTGCAGACGAGTGAAAGGGAACCCCCCCGCAAGCACGCTACTGCTGCTGTAACTACCGGACGTATTCAGATAGAAAGCCTCTTCCCTGTCTTGCTGCTAGAGATGGGATCAGTAGGCCAAACACATTTGACATGTTGGAATGACATTTGTGAACGTGACCCTCAAATCGCAGCCCTCCGTCTAGAGATGCAAATTCGTCCCCTAGAGCTGACTCCAGCCGACGTATTTGTACCCGACCGACGCATCTAATATATCCCCGACCTTATAATTAGTACCGCAAGTGTTTGTCTTGAGTAAGACAGTATAGACTTAAGTCTATCCCGCTTCGCCACGCACATCCTCGCGGAGACGATGCCTTTGGTCCGGGCACTGTCGAAGCCAGTAAGAAGGGCGCGGTAGAGGGCACTCTTGATGATTACCTCCCCCGCCATGGACGAGGCTCGTTCGTACAGATTGCACCAACTGTTCAGCGAACACGTGCAGCGCTCACACCATCCAGGCCCCTCTCCCTTGCACTGGTACGTTGCTGTGCGTTGATCCTTTGGATCCCGTACCTTCTACCTCACGCACAGAGTTCGGAGAATATAGATGGAGACTTCGTCCCCCCCCCCCCCCCCCCCCCCCCCCCCCCCCCCCCC